ATACAGCTGTGATATTTTCCTTGGGGAGTATTTTTATCCCTTCAACTAGTAGTAATAGAGTTTTGAGAAAAATTTTGGGCCCTCCACCCCTGCTTGTGAGGGAGATAAATATAATGACAACGGGAAAATAATTATTTTGTTATTAAAACAAATGTAGGAACCCTCAGCAAAGCGAGCCCAAGCCGTTAGCCAATAGCTCACAACTTAGTTCCTATTAAGCTTGTAATGTCATGATTTTTTTAATTTTTTGGTATTTTAATTTTATTTATTTTTTATATCTGATTTTGCATGTCATGTGGGTCTCAGGAATCATTTGAGGCATTTCTACTAATATGAGACATTTAGAAATGCATCTTGATTATTTTAGTCATGTTATAATTAACGGAATCATTTTTTTGAGTTTAGCCATTTTCCCATGCTCGGGAATTCGAAATTCTATTTCAATTATCATTTATTTTGATATATATGACATCATTGTGTGGAGATATTTTCATGCCATGGTTGTGATTAGGATGGCACACAAGGGCTAGTTTAGTAACTTTGTTTTTAATGCGGAGACTACCTTTGGAATATGTAAACGAACATACGTGGACCACAAATGCATTTAGTTGTTTGGCCAAACAATTCCTCTCCCTCCCCATTTCGGCCACAGCCCTCTCTCTCTCTCTCTAGAAAATTCTCTCTGCAAACACAAACTCTCTTAGAGTGAAAATTGAGAATGGAGCAAGAAGACAAAAGTTGGAATACGAATCAAAGAGCTTTCATTTGGTACCGGTTTTGCACCCACTTTAATCTGATCCGATTGGGGCTTAAATCATCCAATTCATGAAACATCATATTGGTTTCACGAAATGGACTTTTATAAACAACCCAATATATATATATATATATAAACAACCCAATATATATATATATATATATATATATATTTGTTTTTTCTTGAGTGGGTGAAATTTTATGTATACCCACTAAGAACACCAAAGCCACAAAGTTAAAAAGAAGCATACCGGCCTACTTCAGCAAAACAAAAGGATGATTATAACAGTAAGCAAATATCATCCAATCTAAGCTTGGCAGCTTCAATCACTTCAAAGAATACAACCCTAGCTAAATCTGTATCTTCGCTTACAGAATTGTTATGCAGTCTAACATTCCTCCCAATCCACAATGCATGAAGTCTAGGAATGAACGTCATATTTTTTTCTTTTTTTCTTCTTTTTCTTACCTGTCAGGTACGGGAGGGGAAGGGGGATGGGGTGTGTCGATCCTGGACTTTCACATGACTTCGGAAAGTGGCTGGGCTACCCTGCGCAACCCGAACATCATATTACCTAGTTTACCTCTATCCATATCAGCAGATTATCAAACCATTGCCATAGAGCATTTTATCAAACCATTGTCAGTCTTTATCATTGTACATCCTTTAGTTTGGATAATCTGCGTCACGTATTTATTAAAATATTTATAAATCAATATCTTTTTACTTGTAAAACAAATAAAAGAAGACCTAGTTATAGAATATTAAAAAGATGGGCTTGGGTTAGGCTAATATTTATGTAGGCCTAAGATTGAAAATTTTCAATTGAATGAACCATATCAAAATTTGGAGTCCAAACATTTCTTAATTCAATGCTAAAAGCTCAAGAATGTATTTTTCTGAAGAAGCAATGCATGTTGAAATTTGCTATTTTTATAATTTGTACTAATATAGGATTCATTGCTTTTGATGCTAATGTGTAAAAGCTTGAACTGCTAACACACTGGTTAGTGCAATCTATAATATGGAGCATAACAATTTGACAAGAGGATCTATGCACCACATAAACTATAAAGTATGATATTTTTTTTTCCCACCCAAATAAGGGGGGAAAAAAAAAAGTTACAAAAGAACTAAATGATCGATAATGGTTTCCAAATATTCACTTAACAAAATATGATATAATTAATATTAAAGATAGACCTAATCCCAAAAGATAGCTTCACATTTTAGAGGTTCAAGATGGAATCCCCTTGAGACAATCTTGAGAAAAAATTTCATTAACCCTGGTATTATATAACAGTGGTACCCTTGTTTATTGATTGGAGGTACCAAGACATTACCCTAACAATCTCCATGAAGTAATTATGATACAATTTGAGACATTATCCTAATAATAGAATTTGAGAAATTATCCCAACAATCTCCACCTTAGAGTAATTATGATAGAATTTGAGACATTATCTTAACAATCTCCACCTTGGAGTAATTAGGATAGAACTTTCGACTAAGTCAAGCTCTGATACCATTTGTAATGACACACCCCATCACATGGTATGATATATATTGTTCGGTATGATATATATTGTTTGTTTTGGGTCCGAGTCTGTACGGTTTTGTTTTTGGGTTTTACTCCAAAAAAACTTTAATATTGATTAGAGATAACACCGGCATATAAGCACTTCATCGTTTCCACACTCAGGCGATGTGGGACGCCCACGGCACACCGGCTCACAAGGTCACCACAATTGCCCCCGAGGCCCAACGTTCTCATTGGTCACATTTCCTACTGGTTGTGACTCTGATACCATTTGTAACGACCCGGATCTCAACGTCCTTATTGACCACACTTCCGGCTGGGTGTGACTTTGATACTATTTGTAACAAATATTGTCTGCTTTGAACCCGAACCCACACAATTTTAGTCTTTATTGACTCTAAGGGTAGAGTTCAAAGTTCAACCGACAGCAATGAGTTCATAATTGAATTGAGCTTTCCAGCTCCTTTAGAGGGTTCATTCATTGTATCTTAAGCTTGGATTATGATTCAAGATATTTGAGAAACAATTAAATAGACTTTACAAGCTCTCATTTTAACATGAACGTGATTGCTAGTTTGGCTTTTTTGAAAATTAATCTTATTAAAAAATGAAAAGAGCAAAGGATTCCAAGTTTCCAACCCCTTTTTGTTGCACTTGGTGTGGAGGAATGGAATGAAATGTTCATTCTAACCATTCTTTTGTTTGGTATATAATAAGTGGAAATGTCATTCCATTAGAATAAAAATCTGAAAATTCATTTCACAACTAAATCTGTAGAATGGCCATTCCATTCCCAAGTTAATTTTTTTTAAAAATCTACTTCCCAAAAAACCCTCATGTTCCAAGTTCAAAAATTATCACTACCTTCCACCATAACCACCTCCGTCTTTCACCACCACCACCACCTTCCACCACCATCACCGCCACTAACTTTCACCATTACCCACCGCTTTCCACCACCACCGCCGCCATCACCTTCCACCACTGACACCGCCTTCCTTTGCCGCAACCACCACATCCGCCGCCACCACCTTTCACCACCGCTATCACCACCACCTTTCACCACACCACCGTCATCGCCTTTCACCAACGCCACTGCCTTCTACCACCATTATCACCTTTCACCACCTCTACCGCCTTCCGACATCGCCGTCACCTCCATTTTCTTCCTCCACCACCATAATTGCCTTCCACCGCCACCACCGCCACAGCCTTCCACCACCACCGCCTCCAACGCCTTCCACCACCACTTTCTTCCATTGGCTTCCACCACTACAACCGCCACCGCCTTCTACAGACAACCACAATCACCTCTATTGGCTACCACCACCACCACCACACTACTGCCACCTCCTTCCACCACCGCCTTCCACCATTGCCACTGCCACCACCGCCGCTTTCTAACACCACCTACTTACACCACTATCACTTTTCACCTTCACCACCATCCACCACTGCCACCATTTATTTTAAAAAAATTATTAGAAAATGTCATTTTGTTAATTTGATTTATTTATTACTAAGAGTGATATTTTGGATAATTCAATATGAAATTTATTTCATTATAAATTTTAAATTGGTCCAACCAAATATTAGAATGGTTATTATCATATATTTTATTCCTACACATTTCATATTTACATATAATAAAATGAGAATGGTTATTCCATTCCATTCCCCATTTGCATTGCATTCCAGCACACCAAATGCAGCATTAGTAATTAATCACAGACAAATGGAGAGAATCTAATTCGACAACCAAAGTAACAAAATTATTTCAATACAAGGTTAAATAGTATTTGATTTTTAATTTTTCTAGGTATAAGATAATAGTTTTTATTTTTTATTTTTAAAAGATGACTAAATAAAAAAATAATAATAAGTTACATTGAACTCTTCTATAATTTGATATTTATACAAATATCACGCAAAAGCAAAAGACCATGACCGACCTCCGACGACTTCTAATATGAAAATTCAAATTTTTTTTTTTCCCTGACAAACAAAGATCCGCAGCACAAACCAAGTTAACAATCCCGGCTAAAATAAGAACATTATGCGGAACAGATGAAAGAACATCCTTAGAGAGGATCAGCAACACAAATCAAGTTAACAATCCCGAACTACTAAAATAAGAACATTATGCGGAACAGATGAAAGAACATCCCTAGAGGGAGGCCGTATGGAAAACGCCACTAAAGCATGAGCCACCTCATTACCATAAGAAAAAATTTCGAAACGCCACACAAGAAAATTCAATTATGCCCTTTAACTTATAATAATATAATATATGCAAATATCTGTTCGAGTGAGAGAAGTCATACATGCCCTGGAAACATGACGAGACAAGTTAGAAAAAAAATTCCGAAGCTCCACACGAATAGCAAAGGAAAATTCAATTATGCCCTGACTTCTCAATCAGATCCCCCACCCAAAGTCACCTCTCCAGATCCACTGCTCAACCAAATCTTCCGCATATAAGATTTGAAATATCACGGGGTATAATCGGTCCATCCACCTGATATTTGTTTGATGGAGAGATGGTATAATCGGTCCATCCACGTGATATAGGTTTTTGAAAATAATTTGAAATATACATGATATATAATGACCGATTATCCAAACATAACAAAAAAAAAAAGACAGATTATCCAAACATTAACAAAAAAAGACAGATTATCCAAACTTAACAGAAAACAAGGATAATAATAAATAATAAAGATAGATCTGTATTAATCTCCTTAGTCAGATCACAATATCCAATCCAATCATAGATTAACCAAACTTGCAAGGCTCAATCTATAAAAAAAACCCAAGAGCCTTGCTTAGGAAAACCCAACAACAATAATTAGTATACACATTTCAAGAACCCAAAAAAAAAAAAAAAAAAAAAAACCAAAAAGAGAGAAAAAAATAATAATAATTGGAGCCTTTTTACTCCATATAACATCCTCAATAAATAAGCTTAAATCCTACAAATATTTTAGGATAAACTCAGTAGTTCCATCTTATTCCCTGCCTTACTCAAACTAGTGGAGACGCCTTTTAGAACCGAATCTTCCATTTTTTTCTCTGTTGATGATGATGATGATGGTAATGGTAGATTCTTACTTATCTCACCTGCTGAAGCTAAATTCAATAGTTCAGATTCATCTAGCCCTTTTGCTGGACCAAGACTGCATCTATCAGTCCCATGCTTTGCCAATGCACCTTTGAATTTTTTTATCTGCATAACAAATTACAAAAAGAGTTACAAGTTGAAAGAAAAAAAAAAAACACACACACACACACTAATGATCTTTTTTAAAAAACCCCATTAATGATTTAAAAAAATAAAAATAAAAATAAAAAAACCATTAAAGATTGATTATTGAAGAATTATATACTAATAAGAAATGAAGTAACGGATCAAAATCTTACAGTTGCATTGGTGCAGCTGAAGCTACACACCCTACCCTCTGCACCTCTATAAAACCTGAAGAAGGGCAGGACATGTATGTGGAGAGAATAACACATTGTTTTGAGTTCTTCATAGTTAACTTGAAGAAAAATAGCATTTGGGTTTAATTCAGCCATCTGACAGATCTGTTAGAGAGAGAAAGAGAGAGATTAATACAAGTTTATGGGTCAGATAGAGAGAGATATAGAATAAATCATATATGTATATGTATATATAAATATATATATATATATATATAGATAGATAGATAGATAGATAGATACCTTAGGATGCAAAGTTTTGCAGCCTCCACAACCAGGGGAATAAAAGTCAACTATAACCAATCTATCACCGGCGTTTAACAATGATTCAACAAGTTCTTGAGCAGAATAGATCTCCATCATATTGGAGGGTTTAATGGTCTTTTCCCACCATCTCATAGCTCTGCTCACACAGATCGAAGATTGTGCCTGAAACAATGAATCAAATATTTAGCTTTGAACCCATAATACAATGAAATTTGGGCGAATAGAAAAATAAATAAAATACATACATGAACAGAGAAATTGGTTGGTGTTTGGAAGCTCAATTCTCTTAAGCCCTTTTGATCTGAGAGAACCATGGCTTTGCCCACAAATCTTGATTTTGAATTTGTAGACTGCAGACAAGGAATTGAAGGACAAAACCCATACACCGTTTTGGATCTAACAGTGGTCTCTATAGACCCAGAAACAGAGAGACCAATCTTCAAAGAACAAGACATCACACGAATTTTCAAGCTTAACCACCAAAAGTTCTTTTTTCTGGATCAGAAACTAATTTTTTCCAAAACCCACTTCTCTTTTAAAATCAAAAACCAATTTTTTCCAATTTCAGAGGCTAAGTTCAAGAAAACAAGATATACTAACACAGAAAAGTAGAGCTAACCCAGAAACACTTGATTGTTTTGCAGTGAAAGGAGAAACAAAAATTATTCCTTTCTTGACTATATATATGGTTAGAGAGAGAGAGTGTGTGTGGGAGGGAGATTTGAGTTCTTTCCAAGTTTCAAAGGAGGCGAAGAAGCCGAGAAGTGAGACTAAATTGTGAAAAAAAAATTGAAAATAAAAAGTGAACGGGTTTGGTGGGTGTGTGGGGTCAATGATCTGCATCTATTTTTTATTCACTTTATCCAAAATTTTATATGGAACAATTTTTATATGGAAGAGTTGATTATTGTTAATAATTATTTACGATAAATGACAAAAGAAATTAATCAGAAATAGGGTTTCAGAGGATAAGGGCTTGTTTTGTGGGATATTGGGTACGTGTATTTGAGTTGGCTCTGATTTGGATTTTTCCTTTTTTTATTAACTAATTATTGGGAGGCGTTTGGCAGTTGGTCTGTTCTTTCAACGCAGAGCTGACTGTGTATTCCAGTTCAAATATTGGATAAGCGTCGGTCCAGAAGATAGAAAATTGGTTTCTGTGTGTGTGTATATATATATATATATATAGATATGAATAAGGAAAATTCTACTTTAGTAATATCTCACATAATCCCTCAACGTTTTATAATCTTACTTATCTCCTTACTAATGGCCGTTATTCAACTTGATAATGATAATCTATTATTTTACTATTTTACTATTTTACTTATGAATGATATAAGGGTAAAGATGTCATTTCAAATATTAAAAGGAAATAACTGACTTTCTATCCATTTTCATAATCGGAATCACCTCCCCTAAGATTTGTTTCCGTTAGCCTTGCTCAGCATTTGTTATTCTTCGCTTTCTTCCCTGTGTCCATTAGGTTCGAATGATTTCATCTTTTTGAAGTCATTTCTCTTTCGGTGCAGTGGGAGTAATTCTTCTCCAAAATGGATAGGATCCTGAATTCCGTGTTTCATCTTGATTAAGAGAATCTCACTAAGTAAACATTTCGATATAAGGTCTGCTTTCTTGAGATAATCTTTATTCGTTCATTGCTAATCTTCATTCATTGGTAGAATCAATTGCCAGTGAATGGTGCCCTAACAACACGAAGAATCTATTAAATAAACCATAACTTTAGGGAGGTGAGTGAAATTATAAAATGTAGAGAAGCTTAAATGAGATATTGACAAATCTCATATGAGGAAAGTAAAATTTACCCTAAAATATATAAGGAGTTGATAATGATATCCGTGCTCCACTCTCTCTATTGAAATAAATTTACAAAAGAACTCCTATACCATACCATCTTTAATTTTTATATTTTTGATAACATTTCTTTTTTTGGATGATAAAGCAAACACACACACATTTTTGCTCACGCTAGGGCTCGAATACCCCTTCCCCCCTATTCTTTGAAGATTTTTTGAAGATGGGAAAGTTATACCATTAGATTAAAGGCCCTTTGATTATTTTTTATAACATAATAACCCTTTCGAGATACGATTTTTTTTTTTTTTTGGGTCAAACAATACATATAAAATTAATTTCAGACTTAATTATAGACTTTAGTCTGATAAATTTGTTAAAAATGGATTTCAAAAGCTATGAAATAACTATCTATATTTATCAAACACGTCCCAATAAAAATTGAATAGGAAAAATAAATAAAGTAGTTAAGAGAAAAGGAAAAGGTTCCTAACCTAGATGTATAGTAAGACGTTGTAAGGAAAGGATTAATTAATTTTTCATTTTAGGCTTCAACACTAAAAACGCTTCTTCTTCTTCTTTTCAATTTTGAGTGGGGTCATATTTATGATTAAAGAAATGGTTAAAATCATAAAATTTCTATTATTTTTAAATTTTGACCATAAAACTCCAATTTGTTTAAGAAAATATCTATACTTTTAAAAAGTGATCACACTACTTCCAATATCGGTGTCCGATCCGTTAATCATATTATAAAATGACAAATTTAACCTTACTATTTAATGTTAAATTAAATATTAATTTTTTTTTAATTACAAAAATACCCTTTAAAATTACAAAAATTATGTTTGCGAGCTGGGTGAAAGTTTTAAAACATAATTATTGTAATTTTAAAGGGTATTTCTGTAATTTTAGAAATAATTTATAGTTTTTAATTTAGCATTAAATAATAAGGTCAAATTAGTCATTTTATAGCCAGATTAACTGGTCAGATACTATACTGAGGTACTGTGATCACTTTTTAAAAGTGTAGGAGTTTTCTAAAACAAATTGGAGTTTTTGTGATCAAATTTTGAAATTACTAAAGGTTTTATGATTTTAACCTTTAAAAAAAAAAATTAGTAAAAAAAACTTGAGTAGAGGCAAATGTAATCGAGCACACACATACTTAAATGTGATGGAGAAATTTTACTGTTTTCCTTTGTTTTTAGAGTAATGCTTTTACTTATTCTTATTAGCTTCTTTTGAGTTCATTAATTTCTTGTGTTCCCTAAAGCATGCCTTTTTAAATAAAAAAAAAACTTTTTAGCCTTTATTCTCTTTCCTTGCACGTGTGTGTGTGTATATATATATTATTCGTGTGTCTATATATATATAAATAATTAGGTAACTTTTTATTATGATATTTATCACTTATCAAACTTTCCTTATATCTAAACGATGATTTTAATTTTCATTCTTTTTGTGAAAACCTCCCCCATAAAATTCAATTCCACAATTTTATCTGACTAAAATTCAATTTCATAATTTTACATTAAATTAAAAATTACAATAATAAAGATCCACATTTAAAATATATATATATTGTAATATAATATAATATAAAGAATAAAGACAAGGTTGGCCTGAATAGAATCAATACATATGGAAAAGAGTATTTATTAGTTGCCAAAAAAGGGAAATCGACCTTCCGGGGTAAAGTTCAATTCGAACCGGTCCCAACGGATCCGTGTGGACCTTCAATCCAAACCAAACCAATCCGTGAAATAACAGATCGGATCGGTTTGGACAGATTGGGCTTTTCAAATAGCACAATATAATTACACTATATGGCCCATTAAAATCTCAAATTAGTAATTAAAAAAAAATAAATTGTAACATATACCTAATATATACATAATAATAGACAATATAAATTATCCAAATAGAATAATGAATAAAAAAATAAATAGAAATACAATAAGTATATTCAATATTGTATATATATAGTTATAATATATTAATATATTATTTAGGTAACGTTTCGGATTGGTTTTTTCATGGCTCAATCCGTTAACTGAATCGCAAATAACGGATTTCTATTTTTCTAAACCATCACTGAACCACGAGATCTGAAAGTCGAATCAAATTACACAAACTGGATTGGTTCGGACCGGATTGGCAAATTGACGGATTATTTGATCACCCCTATACTATATGAATAATGAATTATGAGAATTTTGAAAAAAAAAAAAATCTTTTACTATATTAAATTTTATAGTCTTGTACAACTCCTACTTGTCATTTCTTTCTTAATACTCATTTAGTAGGAAGGAATGAAAATGGTGGATGAAAGATATGAATGAAGAAACAAACTTTATTTATTTAGTAGAGAAGAGAAAAGAGGATGGATGCTTGATATATCCTTCCTCATTCACAAATTTTTATCTCTCCAAATATGGACGAAAAAAAAAAAAAAGTAATACTATTATAAAAGGTTTTATTTTACAAAACTTTTCTTATACTGTAATTGACACTCTTTTTTCTTCTCTCTCTTAACAAACAAAATAAAGTATTATTTTTTTTTTCTTATTTATCTTTCATCCAACCAAATAAAAAGAGGAAAATATATAATCTATTTCCTAAGGCTTGTTTGGTTAGGTGGAATCAACTAAAAAAGAAAGGAAAGGGAAAATTTATAAAAAAATTTATAGTTTGGATAGATTAAAAAAAGAAAAAATAAATAAATAATGGAAAATTTTGTTTCCCATATTTCCCTATTTTCTCTAAAAACTTTTCCTGAACAAAGCATCGAAAATAATATTTTCGCGTGAAAGAAGTGCCTTTTTATTTGACATTTTTATTTTACCTATTAACTTAATTGTGCAAAACAAATTATTTCTTTATTTTTTTTACTGGATTCCTAAGAGACAAGTTCTCTTCAAAACATTTATTTCTTTGTTTTTCTACAAGTTAATATATAATTAGTAACAACAACATATAATCAAATTTCTCTTAAAATTTAATATTGCCATCAGTTTCTTCATCACCATTGTTGTTTTTTAAAATAAAATAAAATAAAAAAATCATTTCTCTTACTAATAATTAGTTATACTTCTACCAAACAAAATATTATGAAATCTTATTTTATATATAAATAAAATATAAATAATTATATTATTAAATTTAATTATCCATCATTTTACTATTTCTTTGCTAAAAATAGACATCATCAAATACAAATTTATTTATTTTTTAGTATTTAAAATCATAAGGGTGATTTTGATATATACAATCACTTTCTTTTCACTTTCATGCTATCCAAAATAACAACCTAATATTTTTATACAATTTTCTTGAATAAATTTGATACTAACCAAATGCAAGTTCGAAAATAACTTTTTTTTTTTTTTTGCCTTAGTTGGTACTCAACCACACACATGCCTCCGTTAAGACTTAAACCTCTCACCTCTCTTAGAAAAGTAGGGACCTGATACTTTAGACTACTGGCCGTTGATAACTTTTCTTTTCTTTCACTTCACTTTTCTTTCATTTTTCATTTTTTTTTCTTTTCTTACTTATTTCCATCTAACCAAACGGAGTCTAAGGATATTTTATTCATTTATTCTTCTCTTCCTTCCATCCAATTTTCTTTCTCCCTACTAAAGAAAGCATAAAGGAGGATATGTTATTATGAGATATAAAATTTGTAATTGACAAATTTCGTTGTCAAAACAAATTCGATAAAGTTGTAATTTTAAATTTAAATTTCAAGTTCGAGATCAGAAGCGAAATTGAAGAGTTGTTTGTGATCAATAGCTTGACGACTTTGAAAAAGGTACGAACAATATCTTAGGAAGTTTAATTAGAAGGTAAGGGCACTTGCATGCATTGCATGCTTTCAAAAATAAGCGTTGTCGAAATTTTTCCAAGTAAATCTTCGGTTCAAATCTCACCAACTTGAACCGGTTCAAGAGCAGTTGAACCGGTTTAAGTATTAAAGCTTCATTTTTAAAAAAGCACACTGGCCAACTTGAGCCGGTTCAAGGGCAACTGAACCGGTTCAAGTTCTGCAGCAGTTTTTGGCAACTTTGTTTCCTACTTTATTTCAACTTCCTATTCTGTATAGAATTTTTCCAAAAACCTTATGCACGAAATTGACTTATTTTTCAAGTATAATTAGGGTTTCAAAAGTTTATATAAATATATTTTCTCACTTAGGGTTGTGTAGCTTTTTGCATTAAAATTCTGATTTTCATTAAAAATCTTTTTGTGATACTTTTAAAGAACATACACATTATATACACACGAGTGAATTTAGGGTACTGTTCAAATCTTGATCGTATTCAAGTCTATTGAAGATTGCATCTACAACGATTAGAGAAAACAGATCTTATTTCTTCTATAACAAAATCAGAAAGAAGAATTTCAGGTCACACTTTAAAGGGATTAAGGTGCTTGCAGAGTGTTGTTTATCTACTAGCAATCCTTCTACAAGGTTCGAAGCATAAGTCTGAAGTCGAGAGCTGCTGGATGGGAAGTCGCAAATTCAGGGATGTTCAGCGGATTGAGTCTTCATAGAGCGAAGGGGTTTGAGTCTGAGCTAAAGTTCAGTATACTTTGCTTCATACATAATGAATCTTTTTACACTTGGGATAACATACAAAACCTCGAGATCTAATTGGTTTCCTTGCTAAAAATTCGGTGTCACTCTAAAAATTACTTACTTTTAATTTGTGTGTGATTGTTTAAATACTCGGTAATTTTAGTAGAGCAAATTGGATAAAGAAATACATGATTAATCCCTTTCTAAAACGGGTTTTTTAAACTCGAACTTTTCGCAACCTATTCCACTACACAACTCAAAGTTATACCCACTGGTTTAGTATTACCTTGTTTTTTTCTCAATTTTTGAACTTTCCAATGCAACTTTCTATGTACTCTTATGCACTCAAAAAATTTTGTGCACACTATTTAAAGAGGTGTTTACTTCTTTTAATAATAATAATAAAAAAAAAAAAAACATCATTATTGATATATCGGATGTACGGGAGCCATTGGATGTGGTTTAATCTATTATTGTAATAATGGATTTCACCACATCCAACGAGTCTCATACATTGTGATGGATCCTATCACATCCAACAGTTGTCATACATCCTTTGTTGGAGTTGCTCTGCACAATTAACCGGATTTGATGCCAGTTGTTGTGTCTAAAACACAAAATAAACAAAGTTGTTCAAGTAATAAACAAGCAATCACGAAGAAAAAAATCGCACACAAAAAACAAGATATATATAGTTTATCCAAATCTTAGGGCTACATCTATGGAACACACCGAACAAATTCGCTATGAGGAAGATGAAGAATTACAATAGAAAATTTTCTCTCAATCTCTATTTCTCTTGTATTGGCACAAATTAATTAATCACACAACACGTATGATGATTCTTTCTTTCTTCTTCTCTCTATTTTTATCACACCCTACGAACTAATTAAGGTTGATATTTATAGCCCCAAATAATTTGTCCTACAAGAAATTACCTTTTGTAGAAACCAAAACCAATAAGGAAGTTAAATTAGATCAAGAAACTGAATTTTTCCTAAACCAATAAGGAAGTTAAATCAGATCAGGAAACTGAATTTTTCCTTAACTTCAGCAGTCTTGAAGTTTTCATATAATTAAATCTTCCTAAAAATTAATTACCTAATCAAACTCCACAAAACCACAACAATCTCTCACTCGGAGGCTAGAGCATTTGTAAATTCATTCCATCTTCTTCTCATGCATGTCAGTGTGCTTCTCTCTATCTTCAAGCTAAAAGACCGACTGAAGCTGCGCACAACTTCAGTTTCTCCACGGTCACTGACTTGGCCAACATATTAGCCGAATTCTTGGTGCCAAGTATTTTCTCAAGTGTTCAACACCCCATCCTTTAACAAAGATTTGATGAAATGATACTGAAGTCCTATATGCCTAGTCCTTGAATGAAATGCTGAATTATTTGCCAGATGTATCGCACTTTGACTATCACTGTGCAAAACAGTATTCACCCGTTCGAATCCTAACTCTGTTAACAAACCTTGTAAATTATCTCCTTGCTGGCCTCTGTCATCGCCACATACTCTATCTTTGTAGTAAATAACGCTACAATCCTCTGTATTTGCGAAACCCAACTAACTGCAGTTGTACCCACTATAAACATATATTCGGTAGTACTTCTTCTGTGGTCCACCTCACCAGCAAAGTTTGAATCTACATATCCATGTAGCTTTACCTTACCCCTTCTGAAACATAGGCATCTATCTGTGCTACCCCGTAGATATCTCAATATCCACTTCACTGTTTCCCAGTGTAGCTTGCCCAGATCCTTTATAAACTTGTTTACTGCTCCCACTGCATATGTAATGTCTAATTTTGTGCACACTATGGCATATATCAAACTTCTAATGGCTGAGGCATATAGAATTTTAGCCATGAAGTTTTTCTCATCCTATGTCTTCGGACGCTGATCTTGAGATAATTGGAAGTGATTAGCTAAAGGAGTACTCACCACCTTAGCATTATTCATGTTGAACCTCTTCAGAACCCGTTCAACATACTCAGCCTGAGACAACTGCAAAGTAACTTTCAGTTTATCTCTGCTAATCCTCATCCCAAGAATTTGTTTCGCTGTACCAGGATCCTTCATCTCAAATTCACTAGATAACTGCTTTTTCAATTTGCTGATTCCTTTAAAATTAGGACCTGCCACTAACATGTCATCAACATAAAGTAGAAGGATAATGAAACTTGACTTGAACCTCTTCAAGTAGTAACATTAGTCAGCATTGCACTTGTTGTAGCCATGTCGCTTCATAAAATATTAAACTTCTTGTACCACTTCCTCAGGGCTTGCTTCAAACCATACAAGCTTTTCTTTAACTTGCATACTAGTTTTTGTTTCCCTTTCACCAAGAAACCCTCCGGTTGTTGCATGTAAATCTCCTCCTCAAGGTCACCACCATGGAGGAAAATAGTTTTGACATCTAACTGCTCAATGTGCAACCCTTCTACTAACAATGCTAAGAACTGAGCAAATGGTACTCAGTTTCACAACCGAGGAAAAAAAGTATGTGTAGTCAATGCCTTACTTTTGCTGAAAGCCTTTGACCACCAATCTCGCCTTATATCTCTGGGAACCATCGTGTTCCTCTTTTACCCTGTACATTCATTTGTTGTGAAGAGCTTTCTTCCTTATAGGCAACTTAGTTAGTTCCCATATTTTGTTGGAGATAAGCGACTTCATCTCATCTTTCATTGCAAGCTCCCACTTGCTAGCATTTTTAACCTGACATACTTCATCATAGCATTCAGGCTCACCATCATCTGTGAGCAACATATAATCCAAATATTTTCGATTCGGTACACGAGGTCGCATGGACCTTTTGGGTGCAGACTTAGGAGTTGGAATCTGCGGTGAACTATACTCTGTGAGTTCTGGCCAAGAACCCTTATCTGTCTACTCCACGTCAATGCTCTCTGGATCATCATCCAACTCAACAAACTCAGGCTTACTCTGTACAGGACTAGTTGATTATGTTGTATCTCTATCCTTGTACATCACTTTCTCATTGAAAATCACATCTCTACTTCTGATGATTTTTTTGTTTTGATTATCCCAGAGTCGATAACCAAACTCATCTCTGCCATACCCAATGAAAATACATTTTAGTGATTTGGGGTCGAGCTTTCCCCTAGCATGGTTACTAATATACGCAAATGCAATACAACCAAAAACTTTCAACCATAAAAGATTTACCTCTTTGCTACTCGATACCTCTTTTGGTATTCAATACTCCAACGGTACCGACGGTCCACGATTAATTAGATAGGATGTTGTATTGACTACTTCTACCCAAAACTGTTTAAGTAAACCCGAATGTATGCTCATGTTTCTGGCCCTCTTTGTCAATGTTTGGTTCATCCGTTTTGTCACCCCATTCTGCTGTGGGGTTCCTTGGACAGTCCTCTCTAATTTGATCCCATTATTAAAACATAATTTATTGAATCCGGTGTCTTCATACTCTCCACCATTGTCTGACTTCAACTTCTTGATATTCAAACCTATCTCATTCTCTACCATGGCCTTTCACTTCTTAAACACATTAAATACCTCAGATTTGTGCTTCAAAAAATAATACCTTCCTCGTGTGGCCATCAATGAAAGTCACGAAGTAGGATTTTTCGCCAATGGATGAGACAATGGCTAGCCAGACATCTGTGTGAATTAACTCAAGTTTCTCCTTTCTGAGATCTCTGTTACTCTTCTTGAAACTGACTTTCTTCTGCTTGCCCATCACGGAACTCTCACAGAAGTCAATATCAATTGCTCGTATGCCTGGTAGTTTCCCATTTGAGTGCATAATCTTGAGCCCCCTTTCACTTATGTGACCTAGTCTCTAGTGCCAATGGTTGTGATCTTCTCTATTTTCTGCAACTTCTATAGACCCATAAGCACGGGTAGTTAATTTGTAGAGAATGTCAGATTTCTTACCACGTGTAATGGTCATAGCGCCTCTGGAAACTTTCCATGAGCTCTATTGAAGGTTGTAACAAAACCTTTATTTGACAATTGTCCCACCGAAATCAGATTCTTCCTCAAGTCAGGGATGTATCTCATATCCTTCAACTTCCGAGTTGACCCATTCAACTTGATTTACATTTCACCCTTACCAATGACATTGCAAGGTTGATCAATACCAAGATACACCTTACCAAGGTTACCCGGTTCATAACTATTAAATAGTTCTTTACTTGAGGTGCCATCAAATGATGCGCTAGAATCTAAAACCCATAACTCCACTTTGCTCTCCAAAGAGCAAATCAATGCATCATCTGATTCTTCTGAGACATCATTTGCTTCAGTTTTTCTTTCGGTTCCTTTCTTTGAAAGTTTGCAATCAACACGGTAATGTCCCTTATTTCCAAAATTCCAACATTCAACGTCACTGAGATATGTGGAATTCCTGAAATTTTGAGACTGTGTCCTTCCATTCCTTAACTTGGATCTGCCTCTGTTTCTATTACCATTGCCCTTCTTTTTGTTTGAACCCTTGCCTCTGCTTTCAACATTCAATACCGAACCACTGGTGGAAACCCCTAAATTGTCTTCTCATTTCTTCAGTCAGAATCATACTCACAACTTCATCAAACTTCAACTTGGTCTTCCCTGCAGAGCTATTGATTGTTGTAACTGTGCCACTCCAATTCTTGGGTAACTACCCTAGAATTAGCAGTGCTTAGACCTCGTATTTGAAGTCGACATCAACAGACTCTAATTGCCTAACTATCTCGTTGAACGTATTTAGATGTTCATTGAACTTACCACCTTCGACCATCTTCATGTTGAACAATTTCTTGATCAAGTGCAGCTTGTTCACTGCAGAAGGCTATTCATACATATTAGAAAGGGTTACCATGAGAGACTTTGTCGTCTTCTCGTTCTTGATGTGAAGGCGACTGACTTTGACAATGTCAATCTGACGGTGCCAAGAGCCTTCCTATCAAGTAATTCCCATTATGCATCCTTTGTATCCTCTGGCTTCTTTCCTAAAGGTTGATACAGATTTTTCTAAAACAAGAGGTCTTCTATTTGCATATTTCAGAAACCGAAGTTTGAGCCATCGAACTTCTCGATCATAGATGTGGATGTCTTATCTTCTGATGCCATTACTCCCACTCGAACGAATAGATCTGATCGAAAGACTTTTAAAATTTCGTCAAACACCTTCTGTGCCCAAGGTTCTCAACCAAAAGCTCTTATACCAGTTGTTGGAGTTGCTCTGCATAATCAATCAGATTTGATACCAGTTGTTGTGGCAAAAATACAAAATAAACAACGCTGTTTAAGGAATAAACAAGCAATCACGAAGAAAAAAAATCACACATAAGAACAAGATATACATGGTTCACCCAAATCTTAGGGCTACATCCATGGAGTACACCGAACAAATTCACTATGAAGAAGATAAAGAATTACAATGAAGAATTTTCTCTCAATCTTTCTCTCTTTTATATTGGTACAAATTAATCAATCACACAACACGTATAATGATTCTCTATTTCTTTATAATGTTATATGTACAATAGTGTAATGTTCTCACCCACATACTAATAAATCTCCTAATATACATATCAATAATGTCATAATATTTATTCGTTAACAAAGAGTAAATGATTTATATTTTTTTTCCCTTTTCCTTCCATATTTTATTTATCTTTTTTATAATCATTTTTTTTAATTCTCTTTTGACATTAATTTTTTTTCTTTTCTTTTCTTTTTTTACAAAAATAGAAACAAAAAATTTACACTTTTATCGGATCGGATATCTATTTATTAACAAATCGGATATGGATTCACTTACAAAAAAATCCACCGAATTATTGAATCGGATCAGATAAAGTAAAATGCTAATCGAATTTGGATCGGATCAGGACAGATTCTATTCGAATCCAACCCGTTGACAGGTTTAGACTAGATGTTCTTTAATTTAATAAGACAATGTTGAGAAGTAAGAATGTTCATTCTCTTATAGTGTATAACTCCCACAAATAACACATTCTCTTATGGTGTACAACTCCCACAAATAAGTTTTCTACCAATTAGAATAAGGACAATACTTAGGTCTTCACTAGTGAGGATCTACAATATACTCACTATTGATATGGACCAATAATAAATGGACATGGCATCTTTAAGGATAATACTTAAGTCTTTATTAGTGAGGATCTACAATATACTCACCAGTGATGTGAACCAATAATAACTTGACATGTAATCTTTAATTATCAAATCAAAGATGGTGGGTAGATATTCACTTACCAAATCAAAGATAGTGATTTGATTACTATCTATGATAGGGGTGTTCAAAAAATCCAGTAAACCGAAAAATCGGACCGGACGGTACTGAATTGGGCGGTTTGATTAGTTGTATAGCAGTTTAGTCCGGTCCTGGGCCCAAAATTACGGAACCGTAATTTTTCGGTTCGGTCCTGGTTTAGGACCGGACCGGACCAGCTCGGACCGAACCATTACTATGTTATATAATATATATATATATATATATATATATATATATATATATATATATCGTATCCTAAACCTAAATCAAGTAAAGTTCTCAAATTTCTATTTTCAAATATATCTCAATTTTCTTTCCTTTATTTATTCTTAATTTTTTTTTTTTTTTTTGTGTGTGTGTTATATCAATGTTAGTTGATTATTATTATTATTATTTTTAAACTTTGCCCCCTCTAAATCAAAATAAAATAAAAAGGAAATCAATTGAAACCAACAAACTGAACCGAACCAAACCGGTTTTTCGCGGTTTGGTTTGGTTTGGTTTGGTTCTATGAACATTATGGTTCGGTCTGGTTTCAAAAATAGTGGAACCATTATCAATGGTTTGGTTCCAAAATATTCCCAATCCGGTCCAAACTGAACCGTGTGCACCCCTAATCTATGATTTGGAAATTAAATAGTTACCAAATCAGAGATAGTGATTTGATTACCGTCTATAATTTGGTAATTAAAATAAGACGTATCGAATTATTATTGGTCTATATCAGCGATAAGTATGTTGTAGATCCTCATTAGTGAGGACCTAAGTATTGTCCCATCTTTAATTACCAAATCAAAGATGTTAGGAATAGATACTCACTTACTAAATCAGAGATAGCAATTTGATTACCATCTATGATTTGATAATTAAAATAGGATTTGTCCATTTATTCTTGGTCCACATCAGCAGTCAGTATGTTATAGATCCTCACTAGTGAGGACATCTCGCTGATCAAACAATAGTTTTTCCTATAAGGAATCAGGTCATCTGTAATCCCCCCCAAATCCAACTAAAGGAGTAAGCTCCCCTTCTTAGATTGACATCCAGAACCTGTCAACTTCAACAAGCAATGGTTCAAGCTGGATTTCTTCTATAACATATCCGGACGAGCGAACTCTCCCTTTTCATATAGAATGAGGATCCAATATTTGTAAAGAAGAAGTAGCCTTAACCCAATCCAAATGACAAACGTAGGATACAAAGGGTTCACAAGAATAATAACCTCCCAATTGTGGGACCAATTCTTGGATCCATCCCTTAATTTTAAATGGATTAAGCTCTTATCTATTTAAGTTTGTTTGGTATGAGTGACAGTGATATTACTTATACTAAAAATTCAAAATATATCAATATATATATATATATATTTTAAGTATAATGCACTTGAAAAAACTTTATTTCTTAAAACCCAACTCTTAAAATTTTCATTACTTGATTCTTAATTTTATCAAAAAGCATCTCCTGTCTTGTTAGAACCGTACTCTTTTTTTAGATCATACTTAAGAGAATCATAACTAATTTTGCAACTTGCAGGTGAATCCGTCCATTTGAATAATTAAAATTATATCCCACATCACTGATTTAATTTCGTGAACCAAATGCCTTGTAGCTTTAAGGAACTTTCACACCTTCCAAAGTAGAAAGTCGAGAGTTCGAATCCCTATAAAATTATAAAATTATAGGGGCAAAAGTCGGTGTGTGAGTGTGTTTCTTGCTAATAAAAAAAATTAACTTCATGATTTCTTACTGTTATTCATTGTACAAAATATTAATATTTCGTTTGGTAAGAATGAAGAAAATTGGATGGAAGGGATTGAAAAATGGATGAATGAGACATCCATATTCCCTAGTGAAAGGATAATGTCATTCTCCCTTTTTGTTTAGTTGGATAAAAGAGAAGAGAATAAAAGATTGCTAATATTGGGTTTATCTAATAATTATAAAAGTAATATTGTAATTTAAAATTTCTATAACTGTCTTGTTCTTCTTCATTCCTCTCTTTCTTTCAACCATATTCGGAGGGATAAAAATTTATGAAATAGGAAGGATGCCTTATTCATTCCCTTTTCTCTTATCTCATTGTCTCATCTCTATCAAATGAAGAAAGTTAGTTTCTTTTTTTCTATCTTTCCTCCGCCCCTCTTCCTTCTTTCTTACCAAGCCAAGCATAAAGTAGAAACAATCACACTAAATCAGTCATCAATAAATTGGTGTTCTTGTTTACTTAAAATACCGTACCTTACGTTTTAGAGTACCAAATTGACGTTTTGAATTTACTCTCTTTGTCCCAATAAAAGTGTACCTTTTTAAAAATTCTAACTTTTTAAGAGAATGATTTTTATTATTTTTTAATTGTATTTCTGGTGAATGAATTACCAATTTTATCTCTAATAGTAATGGGTCTATATGGATGTGATGGTTTGTTTTTTTATAGGTTTAATGCAAGAAGGTTAAATTGGCAATACAAAAAAAAATAGCATATTGACTTTTAAATGGGACACTTATTTTAGGACGGATAAAAATTGAAAGGTGGACACTTTTTTTTTAGACAGAGGGAGTATAATTGAAGAAAATTCAGTTCAAAGTTTAAACTGAATTTTTTTAGCACTAAGTTTAAAGTGTACTCCTAGATATAGTATATTAGAGTGTCTCCAACCGTTGTGTATATATATATATATATATATATATATTTATAAATCTAATGTGTCATAATGGATTTACACAAAAAAATTGGATTATTTATTTTTAGCTCCATCCGTTGTTTTATACATTTTGTGTAAAAATATATCTCGACTCCACATAATTTTTACAAATTAACTTAATATAGAGTTAATTAGTTAATGGAATGAGAAATAGGGAGGAGAAATGAAATATGCTGATGTGGTTGTGTAAAAAAGTTGTATAAAATACAACAATTTTATACATTGGTGATGTAGCAGTATATCTTAACAGACTGCTGGAGATAAAAATAAAAAAAATTATACATCATACGTGACAGTGTATATTTTATACAATAGAGTATTTTAATAGACTGATGGAGATGCTCTTAATAGGGCAGAAAGGGCCGTGACCCACCCCACCCAATCCAACCCAAAACTTCTTGAAATTTTTTATCAGTGTCTCCTAAATATTAATTAATTTGTAGATATTACATATTTTCGAAACACTTTACATATTGACTCAAAATAAAGAGTTTAAAAATTGGCCCCAAAATAGAGTGTTTAAAAATAAATTTAGTATGCGTCTCAAAATTTTAAAAAAGTTCAATTTGAACCATTTAACTATACTTCTAAAAGCTCGAATATTGTGAAGAAGCTCATTATTATTATAATTGTTATTGCAACAAATTATTAATTTATTTACATATACACACGTACAATATCTATAATATTAATTCAAGAGAAAAACAAGGATAAAAATCACTAATGTTCCCTCATGTTTAATAAAAAAGCTTCAAGCATTTTTTGTCAAACATTCTTGTAAAATGATATTTACAAGAAAAATATCTAGAATTATATAACAATCTTTATTGACATCTTGTTTAATTTAAAATTATCTTGTTTACTTAAAATTCATTATTTTTTTCTAATACTTCATTTAGGTATATCTTTTACCAAGTGAAATCAAAATACTCAAAAAAAATTCTTCCAAAAATTAGATTCTTGAAAAATTGAAACAATTTGATGAAGGAGAATTGATTCTCTGACAATCCTTATTTCTTACCTCTTCTCTGTTTAATTCTAAATCATCGTTTTTTTTTTTCCCTACTATTCAATATATATATATATATATATATATATATATATTATTTTTTTTGAATTTTCTCAAACTATATATACCATGACTAGTATTTAAATAAAATTATATTACAATTAAATAATAAAATTTTCAAACTTTGGTTACATAGTACAAATCTCAACCCTCCATATTAGTGTAAAAGCCCTAAAATTCCTACATTCTATTATCCTTATACCACAATATGGCAAGGGCTACATTTGAGAGTACAAACATTGACCGATTTTGAAGAATGAGACAAATGAAGGAAGCTACGTTTTGTAGACCGTATGTAACCTCTCTCAATATCATAATTTCCCTTCATTCAGATCTCATTTAAAAAAATTAAAAATAAAAAAATTATGTCATATTCCTTGTAAACAATTGTCTACCTCAATTAGTCTCCTCATAAATTTTATATTATTGAAACAAATGAAAAAATTTCTTCCCTAGCTGTCTTTATTAGTCATGTACAAACAAACATACTTTTTCTTTACTTCTCGCACATGGAAATTGCTTGTGACTTGTCTCTTATTCCAAGGAAGAAAATACAAGCAGTGAAAATGGAAAGCTGAAAGAGAATTTCTGTGCATAGTTTTGTTTTTTTTCCTTTTCCTTATTCATGCCACCGTCCATAGAATTCAATCGTCTTAACAGGCTTACCAGGGGTGTTTATTTAGTCCGACAATTAACTTAACTGTTCGGTGACAGATTTACAAACGAAGAAGTCATATTTACCGGATCAGTTTTACCTATTGGGATAAAAAAATAAAAATCAATCCGATCCGTTAATAACAAAATATATATATATATATATATATATTACTATTGCAACAGTTCGTAATTTCGATTTGATGTACTCAGTTTAAACTTTATTCTTTTATCAATATTGTGCATTAACCATCAATTATGTTGTAGAATATATTTTAACAGTTTAACAACCTCATTATTGCTTGTTGTGAATCGTATCTAATGGTGTGAGTTGCATTATGTAAAATGATTGTGGATATAAAATAACTATCTAGAAGGGAATGAATAGGTTTAATTTACTCTTTTATTAAATTTCGTTCAATATTAAATTTACTGAATTAAAAGTAAATTAATTAACATATGAACCAAATATAAAGTGCAAGTAAAGTAAAAGTAGGGTTTAGAGTGACATCAGAGTTTTTTGAGAGGAAACCTAATTGGAGCAAATTATCCAATGTTGAAAAAACTTCATAAACTGTCACGCAGTGTCGAGATGAATAAAAATACAATGGACTTCGACTGATGCTCACATTTCCTCACTCTACCAAGAATCAATTGTTGAATGTTTTCAGCTTTGCTAGTACTCTCCCGTCCAACAACACTTGTTTTCAGACTTACCCCATTGATCCTTACAAAAGGATTGTTGGAAAATCAATAACACACTATAAATGTCTTGGTCTCTTCAAAGTGTGATTTTTTTCTCATTTTTTTCAAATCTAAAATTTTAAAGTAGAAAGACAATGTTGCTTTGATGACTAGTAGCAAAAGATCTTCGATTGCGAAAGAACTTCGATCAACAAGAAACACATCCTAAATTAATCACTTTTGTGTATAGCATGTGTGTTCTCAAACTAAAACTGTAGAATCTCTCAAATGCTCTCTTGGGTTTGAAAAACTTGAATGTCAAAAGCTGTAATTATTTTGAGATCATAAGATAAATGTATAGGTGTTTAGAGATATCTAAAAACCCTTTAAAAAGTCTGCAATTTCGTGCAAAAGCTTTTTTCTTAAACCTTATATATATATAAAAAGGTAATTGAATTGGACTTTAAAAGAATTTTTCTTTTTGGTTTGGGCAAACACAACAGATTCTATTTCAAAATGTAACCGGTTGTGATTAAGTGCAACCCATTCTATTTTTTCTTAGAGTAAAAATAAACAAGTTTTGACATAAATACACCGAACTCTCAATGTAAAACGTAACTTAAGTGTATCTCACTTCACTTACCTATCTAAGATTTTAAACGTCGTCTTAATGATCACGGAGTGAGTTAGCACTCGTTGTTCCAATTCCAACATTAGATTCAAAAGTAAAATAATAATAATAATAATACAATTCGATCGGACTTGTTTTGACACAATCATACGCACATTACAATTTTATACTTCACAAATAATTTCTCATTATTATTATTTGTTGTGCTAATGATGAGGTGGTTGAAAATTCATTTATTGAGTCATGGCTAAAAATTAATAACATTGTGCTGTTTAGAAAAAGTTCAATGAATAGATTGGGTTGAGTCTTTCCACAAATTAATTCGGTTTCAAATTTCACCAATTCATTGAAACCGAATTAGATTCGATTTGATGCCTAATTCGATTCACTCTTTCGCTTCAGCCACTTTCACCCAAAGTATCCTTTGTTGTTTGGATATTTTCCATATGTTGGGTTAGATTATGATCTTATAGAAAAAGTGACAGTAAAGAAGTAAAAAGGAAATTGCTATTTGCACTTTCACATGTACTCTCAATATCCATTTAAATTTTCTTACATAAAATGGTATGATCATTCTTTAAGACACCATTTTTTTTAATGATTATTATTATTAATATTATTCTTTTTTTACATGACAAGGACTTTAAGGCTCCATTTGATTAAAAGGAAATAGCAAGAAAGGATGGAAATTTTTTTTTTTTTTTTAAAAGAAAATATTTTAAGAATTTGGATAACAGGAAATGAAATCTCGAGAAAAACAATTTTTCATAACCACTTAAATTTTATAAAATTTCTAAGTTTCATTTAATAAATTTGTTTTATGAAGTTACAATATTACCCTTTCTTTTATTGTAACTTTTATTTATTCTAAACCATGAAATTGGTAATTTCGAAAAGCTTCCTTAAAATTTTTTTATGTTAATTAATTGTACATTGAAAAACTTATTTTCTTTTTATTTACTTAATTTTCTTTTACTTAAAGAAACATATATAAATGTAAGAATAATTTGAACAAGGTATAATTTTATAAAACTTTTACTATTTTCAAATTTTGATCATAAATTCTAATCTATTTCAGAAAACCTCTAACACTATAAAAAGTGATCACATTACCTTAACATCACCCGTTAACCGGGCTGTGAAATGACAAATTTGACCTTACTATTTAATGTTAAAAATTAAAAATTATTTTATTAAAATTACAAAAATACCCATAAAACAGACCCATCAAACTCTTACCCCTCTCTCTAAAACAGACCCATCAAACCCTAACCGTCACCTTATCAAAAACCCCCCGACACCTTATCCACTATTGTCACAGGGGTATCCCACAACCCCTAACAACTATCCACTTCAATGGCTTCCCTCTCGGTCATTTTTCACGCCTCAACAAACCCTATTCCAAAATCGCCCAACCTTCACCCCCAATCCCAATATGGCCTCTTCAATTTTGCTACCGACAGCGATCATGACTTTTCTGCTCACTTCTACTCTTAACGGTGATATTTCGACATCTAATTATTTGCTTTGTGTTCATCACTGAATTATCCATCAATCTCAGGTAAAAACTTGTTGACTTCTTCGCGTACAACCAGGTCACCGGAGCGCAACCTGGAAACCACCATTGACGGCGACAGACCTTGGTCGCCGTCCCTCTCTAAAACTATTGGGTCGCTTACCAGCAACCCAACTCTCTCCAAATCGCGACCCATGTTACCAATCAGATGAATTGTAGCCAAATCATTAGGCATAAAATAGTATTCCAATCCCAAACCAGGGAAAAAAATTGATCTTCTACGGATTCAAGAAACCTGGGCATAATGAAATTGTATTGTGATTTTAACTGTTTAATTGGTGAGAACACTCCACAGAATGGTAGATAGGTTCTGAATTATCCATTTGATATGATTCAATGGACAGATTTCATGAGTGAAACAGAGTCATTCTCTTGAACGAAATATGTAAACTAACACCTTTACATGTGTGTCTTGTAAATATCACTCCACTACTAAATCTATATCTCAAGTCCATTAACATCAACCTTTTAACTTTTTTTTGGCAGTGAACAATTTTTAGTCTGAGAAGCATTGAAAGACCCATGAAGTGTGGGATAGAATGAAACCTGGGTCTGCTCTAGAGAGGGGTGAAGAAAACAACCCAAAAGGGTATTTTTGTAATTTTAATAATTTTTAGTTTTTAATTTAACATTAAATAGTAAAGTCATATTTGTCCTTTCAGATCTAGGGATGACAACAGAAGCGGGTTTGGGCAAGTGTACCCTCCCCAGCCTCGCAACCGTTTAAAAACTCCACCCCCGTCCCCGCCCAAACTCGCAAAAATTGGGAGACTTTTCACCACATCTTTGTCCCCGTTTAACATCTTTACTCTCGCAGGTATCCACCTTGCCTCGTTTAAGACCAAAAATTCTCTTCCATCTAATTTTTTTTATCAACTAAAATTATATAATTATTAAAAAGATTCATAAAAAAAATGTAAAATAAATAATTTAACATAAAATTCAACATTAAAAACATTCTAAATGGTTGCACAAACTACTTGTTCCAGATTTTCAGATATATAATAAAATATATATACTAATGAAATAAGAGTACTAATGCGAAATATATATACTAATGAAATAAGGATACTTAAGCAATTTACTTATTTAAACGGGGCTGGGTGACCCCCTACATCGAACCCGCACGGGTTTTCATTACATCAAATCATCTCTACTTAAATAAGTTAAACGGTCCTCCAAAACAGCCAAAAATGGAATGGGGCGGGGTAAATTATTATCCCTATTCACAATTTTGTTATCGGGCCAGGTATAGATATTAAGTATTGGGATAATGTGATCACTTTTTTAAATGTGTGAAGTTTTATGAAACATGTTAGAATTGGTTTATGATTAAAATTTAAAAGTTGTTGGAATTTTATGATAATGGTCACGGAGCGTGCATTTTTTTTTTTTTATAGAGACAATTCTAATTTAAAAACAAGAAAAAAGAGTAGGGTATAAGAATAATTTGTGAAACACGGAAAACTGCAGCTAGTTTTGAGTTGTGTAGGGTCATAACCCACAGTATCTTGGGCAAGATCCATGATAGAAGGGGAAGATATTTTTTGCTTGGAGGATATATAAAAGGGGAAGTATGAACTAGTGTAGGTATATATACTTTTTTCCTTAATTAATGGATAAAGCTCCCCTGCATCACAATCCAAACACGTGACTTCATTAAAGTCCACCCCTTTGTGAATTGCGATGTTTGTTCTCATTGGATTTTGGGAAAGGGGTTATGGATTGAGGATAGAGGACGCAGATACTAGGATAAGCCATGGTTTTGGCGCCAAGTTTGAGTGTTGAGTCCACAGTATATATTGCCCATAGCTTTGGAATTGTGTTTTTCAAATGCCAAGATAAGGGAATCTTCTAGAACTAAGTTCATTGATTTGTGGGGTTTTGGAATTGGAACTTCTCCATCTTTTTATGTCACTTTGGTCCCTCACCTCACCCACTTGCCCATACAAAATGTCAGTCCAAAACTCCTATATGGGCATAGTGGTCCAATCATGATGGAGATTATGGTAAATTTCCATTAAAAAATAATGGAATGGGGGCATACATTATAGATCAGCTCAAACTCCGGTTGATAGATTGAGATGCTTTATGTGAATTCAGTTTCCAATCATGGTAAATTTCCATTAAAAAATAATGGAATGGGGCATACATTATAGATCAGCTCAAACTCCCGTTGATAGATTGAGATGCTTTATGTGAATTCACATTCTTACCTTTTGGATTCACATGAAACATTATTGATTTATAAATCATGGGGGGTGAACTGGATAGTCTAGCTAATAAAAACACTTGTTAAATTGCGTGAGAGTTCAGATTCGACTTACTTTATTATTTTTTTTCAGATTCTGATATGGGTAACACTGATTTTCAATGTACACCATAAAACTTGAAAGGATATTTTGTATATGGTAAAAATAATAAATGTATATGGGTATAATTGTACAATAGGAAAGGTTGGTATCATTTTTGAAATCGTAGGAAATATCCATGTTATTTTGGCATTCAACTGGGGAGCTATCCTATATTTTAAATTAGTATGCTAGTGACGCAAACTCTCATTAATTGTGTGATTGATTGAGATAAAATAAAAAATAAATAAAATCATTCCATATATTTTTATTTAATATTCTTGTCTTTTTTCCTTTCCTTTCCTTTCCTTTATTTATTTTTTGGTTATATAAGCATTTTACTATCAAGAAAAAAACATACAAATTATTAAATAGGTCATCTTGTGGTACAGATTATAAAAGACCATTACCGCTACACCAATGTCCAAAAAAAAAGGAAAAAAAAAAGAAGGGCACAACAACTAAGATAGAGATTATTATTATTAGAGCCTAGAGAAGGAAAACTAAGAAAGATTTACCTTTGAAAAATAAAAATAAAAATAAAAATAAAAATAAAAACTAAGATTGAGATTATTATTATTTAGAGTAATGATATTTGCATAGAATTAGGAGAATAGTTGGAGTTATTATGTTTGATTGGTCAATGTAAGACAAATATGAGAAAGTGATCGAGGTTCTCCACTTCCTTATCTTATACATTAATTGTTGGAGTTGCTGCATAATTAATCAAATGTTCTGATACCAGTTATTGTGGATGAAATGCAAAAATAACATTATTTGAGAAATAAATACAAGCAATCACGAAGAATAAATAAATAATCATACATAAGTTATGCATGGTTCACCCAAAAGTTAAGGCTACGTCTATGGAGTGCATTATGAAAAGCATCATGAAAAGATAAAAGAATTACAATAGAAAATTTTATCTCAATCTCTCTCAATTGGAGTCACAAACAATGGAACACAACTTATCCTACAAGAACTTACCTTTTGTAGAGTCTAAAATCAATAAGAAAAATACTTCACATAACTTTCCAGGGTACGTAGTTGAACCCATTCAGTTTCACTTGAACTGGTTCAACGTCTTACGTGGTACAATTCACTGGCCAACTTGAATCAATTCAGGGGAAGTTGAACTGATTCAACATTAATAGTAGCTAAAGTCACATTACACTTGAAGAGGGTCAGAGACTTGAACCAGTTCAACTTTGACAATAACCAAAGTTAAATTTGCACCTCGAGTTGAACCGGTTTAAAACTCTCTGAATTGATTCAAACAAGTCAATAGCAAATGTAGAAATCCAATAGATAGGTTTAAACCTTTCAAATCTTTTACATAATCAATACGCGATCAGACTCTATAAAATTACAACATTAATGACCATTAAAATATATAGTAAGTCTAATAATTATTATTACTCTTATTACTACTAAGCAAAAACTCAGATAAGATGGATCCAAACTTGGATATTTCACAAGTGGCTGTCCCAAGTCTTAAACTCATACAAGTGGCACTAATATCCAACCGTAAAACTTTTGAACTCATACAAGTGGCACTACTAGGCAAGGCAACGACTTTCTTGTCCAGTTATGAGCATGCATGCTTGATTACCTTTTGTTCGAGTCATAGTTTACACTTGACAACGAAAATTATAAACGATTTATCAATTTGAATTTGTGTAAATTTCATAAGAGATCGGTGTAATTTACTTTTAAATAAAATGAGTTTGCTATTCGTCATTGCAATTCAGGGGCAATAAGAGATTCGTAGTCCACATGGGCCGGGGCGGACCCAAAAAATGAAGTTAGGGATTAAATTGCTAGTATAAAATTGATTTTTTTTAAAAAAAAAAAAAAATGAATGGTATCAATTTTTTTTAGTGCATTATATATATATATATATATATATATATATATATATATATATATTTATTTATTTATTTATTTCGTTTAACATGTTTATAAATGATATGTAAAGAAAAAATTGAAAGAAAAACATATGACATTTGATAAATGAGATTGTCAAATTAAAATATTTTTTTTCTATTTTTAATTCATAACAAATAATATATATATGTGTGTGTGTAGTGTGCCCCTGTATAATAATAAAACTGAATAATGTACGAAGAATATGAATAGAGTACGGATATGTTATATCAAGATTGCAATTCTAATCTTTCAAAAAATATAAAAAAAAGAATTTGTTAAACTTTGAGGAACATAAGTAATTTCTTTTACAAACCATCTTTAATAACCATAAACAAGTAACAAAATTATTAATAGAAGTTAAAAAAAATTTTGAAAGGCTAATTTTAAATTTTCTATACTAAATTACCTTTAATAAATATAAATATACACTATTAATAGAGGTCGCAGAAAAATTTAGGTTGAGGGGAGGGGGGCCCACCCAGGTCTAGCAGCCGTTTAAAAACAAAATTAGTGAGACACAAATCAAACAAACCCTTGAATGAGACCATCAATCGATAGCGACTTTGGAAACAGACACATATTAATGATTCCACGTGGACAGACACATATTATATATTAAACCTCAAAGCATATTATTATTAAACATCAATCAATTATGTTTAGGGGACATAATCACAAAAAATTATTGAGCAATATTCTATACGACTCTTCCTTAATAACTTGTCAGCCTATTTTAGTGGAATCCAATAGTGTGGATATAAGGTGGTCTTGGTCATTGTTTACGGCTGATTAAATGTGTCCGCAATAAGTGTGTTTAGCAATATTTAAAAGTAACCCACCAAGCAAACTTAATGGC